GCTCAGCCTGGGGCTAGTTGAAGAATAATCTGTGAGAATGAAACATACAGATGGGTGGGTGGATGAACCACTCCAATTTAGTGTAATGGGGGGGGGGTACAAGGGGGAGAGAAAGGGAAAGGGGAAGAGGAGGAGGGGATAACATTTATGTACCAGATTCTGGACTAAGTACTTAATATGCATTCTTTCATTTAATCTTGCATATACGTACATATAAAATATAATCATCCATAAGCACGACAAGTGCTGTAATGTTATCATTCTCATTAGTCAGACTTTAGACTCAGAAACAGACTCAGAGAGGCCAAGTAACTTGCCTCAAATGGTGCCGCAAAGAAGCAGAGCTGGGATCTGAACCCTGGCAGTGAGACTCCAGACCTCCCAACCGTGACCGCTCCATGAGTGACAAGTTGCTACAAATCCCTTCATCAAGAGCCAGAACAGACAGCACTCTGTTAACTGAACTACTTATTCATCATCAGCCCAAAATTAATTCCTGGGCGCCGGCCATGGGGCAGCCCTCATGTGCCTGGCTGAGGGAATGCTGAGATTAAATTAGCACAGCGCCTGTGGTCTAGGGAGAGGTCAGTTTATAAGCCAACATCATAAAACTGACGGCTCCAGGCTGCTCCTGGGGAGACACATGTCAAGAGGGTCCCTGCATGGGAAAGGAGGATGACCCCCCAAACCCAGAAGAGTTTGTGAAGTCTCAGCCCTGCACCCTTCTCTGCCATCCTTGTGTGTCTGAGGTCAATTCCTGAGGCATCAGTCACAGAAACTTCTTTCTGGCAGTACTGCTGAGCACAGGGAGAGTATATATTTAGCTTTGCTGCTTCTCTGGAACAATGTGATTCATTGTTCTGAGAAAATCACTCGACTTCACTCACACACAAAGCAGAAGCCATACCTGGAGAAGGAGCCACAGTGCTGTGTGAGGACAGAAAAGGGCAGCAGGCAGGACTGCAGGATGCCAGGATTCTTAGCTTAGGACCCCTCGGGGCCCACTGATGGGGTGCAGGGGAGCCACTTGAGGGAGAAGTATTGCATATTTGTGTATTCTTTGTCTGGACAGAGGGTTGAGAGCTTGCATTAGCCTGTCAAAGGGCTCCTCAAACCCCCAAGAAGGCCAAGGAATTCCTCTGAATGAATATTTTTTTTTAAAGATTTATGTATTTATGTATTTATTTATTTATTTATTCAAGCACTGGGTACAGTCAGAAGCGCGGGAGGGTAAGAGAATTCACCAGAGCCAGAGCAGGGAGCAGAGCAGGCAGAACTACACTGCTAAGGGGAGCAGCGGGCGGCAGGAGAGGTCTGCGCGCCATGTGGGACCCTCCTCCGGTGGCCGGGGAGCAGCCGGGGATCAAACCGGCTCTGCAGAGGCTGCGGGCAGCTTTGCAACCCAGCGCTCAACCGCTGAGCCACCGGGGAGGCCCAGGAATATTTTTTTCTTGAGGATTTATTTTTATTTATTTATGCATACAAGAACTGGGGTGTAGGCCAGAGGTACAGCAGGTGAGAGGATATACCAGAAAGAGAGGGGAGTAGAACAAGCAGATTGACTGAAATACACTGCTGAGGGGAGCAGCAGGCGTGACAGAGAGGTCTGCTGCGCCATGTGGGTCAGCTCCCTGGCCGGGGATCAGGGATCAAACTCGTGCTGCAGAGGCTGCAGATTGCTTCATAGTGCTGAGACTTAACCTCTTGCACCACCAGGGAGGCCCCAGGAATATTTATTTTCTAAGTATGGACTTAAACTGTGCCTGCCAGCCACTGCCTGTACTGGGGTGGCCTGTGTTCTTGTTTTCCCGCCACCAAGTAGAAATCAGGAGATGGACTCAGGAGACCAGCAAAGGGAACCTGGGCTGTGCTCCTCAGCACTGGGCAGGGGGACTGTGCCGGACAGTACCAGCACAGTTCTATAGGACTTGGTTGCCCAATGTGGACACAGGGGCAGCCTGGGAGATATCTTCTGGCCAGGGGACTGAATTTTGGTTGATTGCTCTGTTAGGGCATTAAGCAATAATTCGGTGCCAATCATCTAAGCAAGGAGCCATTCCTGGCATCAGTATTAAGGAAATGGAGAGATGGCTTAGATAAGGGTGAAGGAAAATCCCTCCCTCTCGATAGTCTCACTTGGTTGGGCCAGATCCGAGAAGGGTGGGGGGATGCTGGCCCTGTCAAGGGTTGGGACTGCAGGCCCAGTCAGATACATCCAACCTGGGAGGGCAGCCCCACCCAGTCGTGGGTTTCCTGAGCCGGGATGTCCTCCTGACCTTCTGAACCATCAGTTCTGACTTACTCACCCATGGCTCCCAGTGCCCAGCACAGTGGCTGACCTCAGAAGGCATTGCATGAATGAAGGTGCCTGGACCCCTGACTAGGCCAGGAACTCTTTTTGGGAAGGAACCAGTTGGATGATTCCAATACTGCCCTGCCCCTCACCCGCCCTCCACAGCCCCCTGCTGCTGACCATGGGGCAGCATCCTTTTCTCCTCCTTGAAGTTCTTACTTCCAGCCCATGGTTCCATGGGTCAGCAGAGACCCCAGTGATCCTTATGGATGACTAATGGAAACCCCACTGAATGGTGACAGTATTTTTTAGCAGAGATCCTCAGTTTACTTACAAATAGAAGACCCATGCCTTGGCTTGCTCACTTGTCACTTACTCATTCATTTGCTCACTTCTGTGCCCACTCACTCTCATTCAGTATTTTTTTTTTCTGAAAGTAACTTAAAAAAAATTTTTTATTATTATTGTTTTTAAGATTTATTTTATTTATACAAGAACCAGGGTACAGTCCAGATGTGCAGGAGGGTGAGAGGATTCACCAGAGACAGAGCAGGGAACAGAACAGGCAGAATGACCAAAATACACTGCTGAGGGGAGCAGTGGGCGAGACAGGAGAGGTCTTCTGCGCCATGTGGGTTTCTCCATGGCTGGGGGGATGGAACTGGCACTGCTGAGGCAACGGACAGCTTCACAGCGCTGTGCTCAACCACCTGTGCCACCAGGGAGGCCCTCTCATTCAGTCTTAAGCCAATCTGTCATCTGATCATTCACTCATTCTTCTACTAAACACTGGGCAGAGCATCGCATGGGTATGGAGATACTTCAGGCACAGCCTTGCCCTTGAGAATGCCCAATTGGGGTGAGGGTGAAAGCGCCATGAACACAGGTAATCACACAGCAGAGGAGTGCGTCATGAGAAAACTACAAGACATCATGGAGGAGCCACACAGAGAAAGATTTCTTCCAGCTGAGAGAGGCAGTTCCATAGAGGAAGGATCCTGGGCCACAGCTGTATCACTTCTGTATGGAGAGTGGTGAGGATGGCAGCCTGTGGGGAAGCTGGAAGCTGCAGCAACTGGAGGGCATTTTACATAAGACCGAAAGGTAGTCAAAAGTGTCAGAGACTGGGGCCTCCGTGGTAGCGCAAGGGGTCAAATCTCAGCACTCTGAAAGTATCTGCAGCCACTGCAGCATGAGATTGATCCCCAGCCAGGGAGCTGATCCACATGGTGCAGCAGACCTCTCCTATCTTGCCCGCTGCTCCCCTCAGCAGTGCATTTCAGTAGATCCACCTGTTCTGCTCCCCACTTTGTCTCTGGTGAATCCTATCACCCTCCCATACCTCTGGCCTATACCCCAGCTATTTATGCATGAATAAATAACTCTTTAAAAAAAAAAGTGTCAGAGAATGAAGCTACGATGGAGGCTGCAGAAGGTGGTAAAATCCCCCCTAAATACCCTCTTGCTTCCACAGTCAAAAAAAGGAGTTTGAGTTCAGCAAAAGGGGAGAATTTGTTTTTTTTAATGAAGGTGATGGGAAGGGTGAGCTCCTGATAGGAGGAAAGGCCTGGAGGTGGAAAGTTCAAGGCAAGCCAGGGGGCTTGTACTCAGGTTTGGGTGGAGCAGGTAGAGGGCGTGGTGCTCTTTGAGCTTGGAGAGCAAGGCTAAGCTGTGCGAGCTTCATGATGGGAGCCGTAGAAGGTGTTGACCTAGAGAGTAATGGGGTCAATGCTGTTCTTAGGGATCTAGCTCCAGGGCAGTATGGAGAATGAAGAGGAGGATGTGAGACCACAGGAGGAGAGTTCCAAGCTCCCCCAGAAGTTTCGAGGCACAAAGCAAGAGCACCAATGGAAATCACATGCCCCTGGCTAAGATACTTAGTTATGAATCAAATGAGCAAATGAAATATGTTCTGTGCTCTTACCTTGACAAAGAGACTTCCCTAAAATCCTGGAGGGTGAGCTTCAAATGTACAATTCCCAGATTCTCCTGCTGATGTTCTGTGGCCCTTACCCCCAATCTATGCCGTATTTTCCTTCTTCTCACCCCCCAACTCCTTCCCTCTGTTCACATCCCCACAAAGAGCCACCCCTAGTCACCCTTCAGATCTAGAGGGGCTCACACCGAGTACGCACCCGCCCCTGGAGCCTGGGGAGTCAGATGAGCAAACCTTTGACAGCAAGTGGACTCAAGATGACAGAAAATTCCAGAATCCTGAGTGCTCTATATACGGTCTAGGAGAGGATGCAGGATACATTGCACTGACTTTTGGCTTTCTTGCCCAGGAGAGGATCTGAATGGGGCCTTCTAAAGCCCAGGGCTTATGAGAGAGACCCCCTTCCTGCCTTGTAAATCAGGGAACCAGGGAAGAGAGAATGAAGTGGAAGCAGCCCCTGTGATGAAGGGAACAGAAATGTCAGATAGGATGCCCGGGACTTGGAGACCCAATGGCTGGGTGTCGGCTGAACACTGCAAGTGCCACTAGCGCCTAAACTTGGCTCCTGACACTTGGCAGGAGGGCAGGAGGCAGGTGTAGCCAATTGCACCTCTGTGAAGAGCTTAACTTAGTGCCCAGCCTCCTCTGCCCTCCTCTTGCCTATTCTCCCCATCCCCCAGCCTGCAGCGTCTGGCTGGGCCGTGTGCAGGGCGTCTGGCCCCAGGGAGGGGCGGGGTGAACCCAAGTCTACACCTACAGAGCTATAAATAAGGAGCCTCTGGTGGCTGCTCACTCAGCTCCCCTTCCCCAGCCTTGATAGCACCCAGATAGCTCAGAGCCTGGACCATGGACCCTGGGGACTGTACCTGCATGTCTGGTGAGTAAGGAGGCCTGTCCTGGGACTCTGTGACATCTTGCACAGGGAGCCTGCTGACTCTGGTTAATGCTTCCCTTCCTCCAGTTAAGAGTCACCAGTGGGGTTTGTCTCTCTCTGGCGGTCTCTTGGGTGGCTCCCATTCTCTTTTGGCCACCGGCCTGATTTGCTGGAGTTGATGGCCTGGCTCAAGATGGACCCAAATGGGGACCTAGCGGCAGGCCCTTAGGGGCAGCCACCAGGGTTGGGGGGTGCTCTGGCCAGGAGCCTGGCAACCCAGTTTTGCTCCATGGCTGCCATTTGCTTGTGACATCTATTATTTCTGGACCTCAGTTTCCTCACCTGTTAACTGGGCTTACTCCTTCCCAGCTGCCCACCCCGCAGGGCTGATGTCAGGGAGTTATTTGAAATGTATGCGGACTCCCGAGTCTCTGAGATGGCCTAACTCCCTGGAAGCATGTTGGCCAGTGAGAGAGAGGTCGGAGGGGTTCAGAACCACCCTGGGTTCTATGACCTTTAGAATAGGAACAAGAAACTTCCTTGATAGGATGTGTCTGTATCAAACACTTGCCAAAGTGGCAGAAGCTTCCAGCATTTTGAAACTCAAAACAATATGTGGGGATGAATTTTTTTTTTAATGTGTAGCTGGTTTTCATGCCATGAATGTGAGGTGAGTTTGCTATGTCCTTTTTGCTTGCTCCTACCCACCCGGGTTGCTACCTTGAAAGGTGGGCAGGCTATGAAAGCCTTTGACAGTCAGGGAGCTTCGGCTTGGTCCCGTACAGTGGCTTTTAACCCAGACTGTACATCAGAGTCACTGGGTTGCTTTTTTAAAATGCTGATTCCCTTATAAGTCAGACTATATCAGGGGCTGGTCCTGTGAATCTGCATTTTAGCTAGTATCCCATGTGCCGGCGCAGCCACCTCAGTGTCCCTCTGTGGACTGTAACAGAACCACTGGACAGTTCTTGCCCCTTGCTCAGAGGCATCTCCCCCTGCTGTCCAGCAGCATCCTGCCAGAGCCTGCCCCTGGGACAGTCTGCAGCCCGTCCCTTGGTCCTCATGTCTGTGTCTCTGTCTTCTCTCCTAGGAGGAATCTGCATCTGTGGAGACAACTGTAAATGCACAACTTGCAACTGTAAAACATGTCGAAAAAGTGAGTGTGGTGACTGGGGCACCAGGGACCAGCAGCCCGGAAAACTTGTTCCTTCCATCCCCAGCCCGCCAGCTAGGGTGGGATTCAGGGCGAGCTGGGTGCCTTTTACCTGTGTGTGAGAGATCTGAAATGAAAGCTGAGCTCCACGGGACTGCAGCCTACCAGGGAGTGGTTTTTCAGGTGTTTGGAGTAGGAAGAGGACTCAAGGGAGATCTTATCCGCAGGTGAAGGGCATCGAGCACAGGCTCGCAGTCATGAGTGCAGTCATGAGTGCCGGATGTTAGTCTTGAATCTGCCACTGTCCAATGACCTTGGGCAAACCCCTCCCCTCCCTGAGCCTCTGAGGGACTCTAGATGATCCCTCAGATCCCCCCACCAGCTCTAAAATCCCACAACTTCCTGTCCCAGGTTTTTTGCTGCTGTGGATTGAAATGTAGGGCATGTTCTTTTTCTACTTCCAGAAGAGGGTAGGGAAGTGATAAGACAGAATATTGATCCCAAACTGACCTGTCCATCTCTCCACCTTTCCAGGCTGCTGTCCCTGCTGCCCACCAGGCTGTGCCAAGTGTGCCCGGGGCTGCATCTGCAAAGGGGGCTCAGACAAGTGCAGCTGCTGTCCCTGAAACGCATCTGGCATGCCAAGGACGTGTCTGTACAGTGCACTAGTGGAGAAGTTGGAACAATTGTATAGTAGTTTGTGCTTTTTATATTATGAGTCCCATCGTGGTGTTGGTGACATTCACATAAAGTGCTGGGACCAATAAAGTTTTCACTTATGGTTGTCTGGTGGCTCAGAGCATTGTGTCTTAACCGAGCAGGACCAAGAAGGGCTGACTCAGTCACAGCTGGCATAGGTGCCAGCACATATCCCTCCCTTGGCAGAAGGCTGTGAACCCAGGATCCTGCAACTCTGCCTGAGGGCATCTCCTGCTGTAGGAACTTGCTGGCCACATGCACAGGGCAGGCCTGGAGTACTGGGGCATTAACCCCTGGGAACCAGCTCTTAATGGCACCCAGGAATCAGTGGACAAGCACCCACCATCTTTACACTTCCGTGGGACAAATCAGAGAATTGCTCTAAACTGTCCCCATGAAGACCCAGCAACAACTCCAGTCCCCTGTTCATAGACAGGCCCCATACTGGCTTCCTTCCTTCCCTGTCTCACTTCCCCATTCTCCTAGCGGTGCTCTCTAGGATTCCCCACATGTACAGGGTCTGCTTTGGGGAGAACCCAGTCTTAGCCTCGTTCTCCCGGCATCCAGCTGGCCCAGCATGACTTGTGCAAACGTTACTGTGTAAGGGACTTCAGCACTGAATTCCGTGAACAGGCAGGAAGTCTGTGAGGATCTAACAAAATTCCAACATCAAGACACTGAGGGTGTTAGTTGCCCTGGCTTGGTTATTTGGATCAACCGACAGGACAGGGTGCTGGGCAGACAGGGACCAGGAGAAGCCGGTGCTGTTCCTTGAAGTTCTTGACTTTCAGACAATGTGCAGACACACTGAAGTCTTAGGATTCCCCCTGCCCCAGCCCGTTGCTGACAAATGTATCAGAGCTTTCCCAACACCAGCACAATGCCAGTCAAGTTTATTGATGATAACAGCAGCGCTTATGATGCCCCAGCATCATCACTGAGCAGAGGATCTACATATTTAATCTCTGCAGTGGCCCTGCCCAAGGGTTGGTTGCATGAAGGAATCCTTGAATTTTAAAAACTGAATTCTATGTAAAGAATGTGCAAAACAGGGTCTCCCTGGGGGCACAAAGGGTTAAATCTCAGCACAATGAAACTATCGGCAGTCACTGCAACACAAAGTTCGATGCCTGGCCAGGGAGCTGACCCACATGACACAGCAGACCTCTCCTGTTTTGCCAATTGCTCCCCTCAGTAGTGTATTTCAGTCAGTCTTCCTGTTCTGCTCCCCACTCTGTCTCTGGTGAATGCTCTCACCCACGCCCCCATCCCATGCACCTCTGGCCTACACCCCAGATCTTGTATGCATAAATAAATAAATCTTTAAAAAAATTAAAAAGGTAGTACAAAAAGTAAAAGTTACTGTCCTACCTTGGTACTCTGGTCCCTTCTAGGCAAGACAGCTACAGGCGCCACTCACTTTGGGACATTCCAGGGTGGGCTAGTCCCTGACTGTATAGTTCTATTAACACACAGCATCTCACACAACCAGTCTTACACACACACACACACACACACACACACACACACACACACTGGCCTATGTCAACACAACCACGAGATGCCGAAGCGGATGAGAACGGAGACTTCTCCAAGGTCACGGGCAGCTCCGGGGTGTTATGTGGAGATGGACTCAGTTGGCAAAATGAGCAGGATTTACCATGTGTCTCCTGGTACTGGGCACCATCATCATCCCTGTTTAGAAATCAGTAGGGTCTCCCTGGGAAAGTTTTCACCCTCAGTCAGTCTGTGAGCTGCTCTTTTTTTTTTTTTTTTTAATAGAGGCATGTTTTTTTTTTATTTATTTATTTGTTTGTTTGTTTTGTTTATACATGCACTGGGTACAGTCAGAAGCGCGGGAGGGTGAGAGAATTCACCAGAGCCAGAGCGGGGAGCAGAGCAGGCAGAAAGACCGAAGCACACTGCTGAGGGGAGCAGCGGGCGGCAGGAGAGGTCTGCGCGCCATGTGGGACCCTCCTCAGGTGGCCGGGGAGCAGCCGGGGATTGAACCGGCGCCGCAGAGGTCGCCGGCAGCTTCACAACCCAGCGCTCAACCGCTGCGCCACCGGGGAGGCCCCTGTGAGCTGCTCTTTAGACATAAAGGGCACACTGCAATGGAAGGCACTTGGCCTTTGGAGGCAGATGCTCCAGCTTCTCTTCCCCGCTGTCCTTCAGAGAGTAAATGGATAAATGTGGTACAGCCAGACAATGGAATATTATTTAGCACTGAAAAATGAATTATCAAGCCATGAAAAATCATGTAGGAAATATAAATGCCTACCACTCAATGAAGGAAGCCAACCTGAAAAGACCATATATTGAATAATTCCTTCTAGATCACATTCTGAAATGGAAAAAACAGTGGGGAAAAAAAAAAAGAACAGAGGTTTGCAGGTATTGGGACAGGGGAGGGATGAATAGGTGGAGCACAGAAATTTTAGGGCAGTGAAACTACTCTTTATAATACTCTAATGGCGAGTATATGTCATTAAACATTTGATCAAACTCATAAAATGTGCAACACCAAGAGCAAACCCTACTGTAAAATATGGTGTTTGGGTGATAATGATGAGTCAGTGGAGGTTCTTCATTTGTAACAAAAGTGTTGATAAGGGGAGAGACTGGCATATATAGGGGGCAGGGGATATATGGGATATCTCTATACCTTTCTTTCAATTTTATTATGAATCTAAAACTGTTCTTTAAAAAAAGTATAGGGCAGAGCAGTCTTTCTGCCCACCTGTGACTATGCAGGTGCTTCTTTTCACCAACTCTCCCCCTCTGCAGGGCAGCAGTCTTCCTGCCTGCCCCTGACTTGTACCATGCCAGGGCTTCTCTTCAGCGACCTCCCTCAGCGGAGGCAGCTCTCCTCAAGGCTGCCGGCCTGCAAGCATGCAGGCCTCTCTCAGCAAACCTGTCCCTTTCGGGGCAGCTCTTACTGCCTGCTTGTGTCTATGCAAGTGTTCTGTACTCTTCTGTTCCTTTTCTAATAAACCTGCTCTTTCAAATATTAAAAAAAAAAATCCTATGGCCTCCTTGGTGGCTTAGGAGCTAAGTCTCAGTGCTATCACCATGCCAGCCTGAGTTCGATCCCCGGCCAGGGAACTGACCCACATGGCACAGACCTCTCCTGATTAGCCCCCTTAGATGTGTAGATCCACCTGTTTCAGTAGATCCACCTGTTCTGCTCCCCACTCTGTCTCTGGTGAATCCTCTTACCTGCTTCTACCTCTGGTCTACACCCCAGATTTTCTACACACACACACACACACACACACACACAATCTAAAAAAAAAGGCTATTTTAAATTTTTAAAAAGATGTATCTATTTATGCATTCAAGAACTGGGGTATAGGCCAGAGGTGTGTGTGTGGGGGGAGGGGTTGAGAGGATTCACCAGAGACAGAGTGGGGAACAGAACAGACAGACTGACTGAAATACACTGCTGAGGGGAGCAGTGGGTGAGACAGGAGAAGTCTGCTGCACCATGTGGGTATCTCCCTGGCCAGGGATCAAACTCATGCTACAGAGGCTGCAGATTGCTTCATAGTACGGTGTTTAACCCCTTGCACAACCAGGGAGGCCCCAACTTTGAAAATATTTAATAAAACTTGATCAAATGATTCTGAAATTAAGTCATAAAGGGAAGTGAAACTAGACAGAGAAAATTAACTTAGATGGCCTTGGTGGCCTTTTTCAGCAAGTGCTTCAGCCAATAAAACAAAACAGCTCCCTCACTGCCATAGCTTTCTCTACTTCTTGATCTGAACTGCTGCTTTCTCTGCTCCCATGTGCCCCATAAATGTGCTTTGACCATTTTGGAATTCCAGAAAAATGTTAAAACTCTCAAAACTATGTTTGGTCCAAGTCACCTCCTCTGCTCTGATTCTCAGCTCTTTAATTCAAATTTTTCTTTTTCCCTCTTTGCCTTTCTTTAGTGTCTTTTGGTGCATTTTCAGGAAGCTGGAGAGGTAAATCCAAGCACTCGCTACACCCTCTTGATCAAAATGTCTGGGCTGTTATTGTTTGTATTTTTTAAATTTTTGCACCAACCCTGTAGGACGTGGATTTTTGTCTCCATTCCACAGGTAAGGAAACTGAAACAGAAAAGTTGGAAGATCTCGTCCTAAACCCAGGTAGGGCTGGCCGAGAGAGAAGATTGAGGGCAGTGAGGGAAGATGAGTTGGGAAAAAGGCTGACAGTGAAAAGTGAACAGACTGGTTAGATATGGCCCAACGGGTAAAACTTGAGTAATGTAAGGAAACAGATTTTAAATCAAGGAAAGGAAGAATTTTCTCACGGCAGAGACTCCTGGTGCAGGAAAAGTGCTGTGTCAGGAGGCTGACGCATAGTAAATTGTGTTCCTGAGTTGCTGGGGGACAGTGGGGACCTCTGAGCGCCTGTGCCAGACTGTGCACCTGCTCATGTCATATTCCAATTTGGATGGAGACCAGATGTCCTGCCACCTGTGGAGCCCATGTGCCAGCACTGGGAAGAAGTTCCACATGTGGATTGCAGGGGGCTTTACAGACCCAGAGGCAGATGTGCCAGGATTGATGTCTGAGCCCTGGGAAATCCAAGGGTTGATGGGGGTTGTTCCTGCTTCTGTCTCATTGGGGTTGGAGCCCAGGTATTCCACCATCATTCAAATTGGATCAGCTTGAGGGCCTCCCTGGTGGCACAGGGGGTTAAGATGCAACCTATGAGGCTCTCTGCAACCTCTGCAACATGAGTTTGATCCCCCGGCCAGCCAAGGAGCAACCCACATGGCACAGCAGAGCTCTCCTGGCTCTCTCGCTGTTTCCCTCAGCAGTGTACTTCAGTCAATCTGCCCGTTCTGTTCCCCACTCTCTCTGATGACTCCTCTCACCCCCCACACCTCTGGCCTGTACCCCAGATCTTGTATGAGTGAATAAATAAATCTTAAAAAAACAAAAACAAAAACAAATTGGATCAACTTGAGCCCCTGTCTT